CATTCATCAAACATCAGATATGGATTTTGCTCCTCAACAGGATGTATGTGCTGTGGACACGGCTCAGGTAATGAAGGGTAGGTCAAGTTCCCATCAGGATGTGCTGGTTGTTAAGCCATTGCTGTAGGGAAACTTCTCATCTCCCTGCAAATTTTGGTAGTCTTTGCTAGCTGGAGAACAGCCATCTGCAAGTGAAATCCAGAGGTTTGTGGGGTCAGGTTTGCCTGCCTGCTGAGCTCCAGTGGAGTGACAGCCTGAGAGAGCTGCCTCACTGCTGACTCGGAGGAGCTGAACTAGCATCATTTAGCAGCTTTGTCAGGAGCAACACCATGTATTTAAAGCTGTCTACTGGGGCTTTGATGTTCTGGCAAGCGGCTCATGTTTGAAAGCTGTGAGATGCTTCTGATGCTTTCTCTAATGTCCTCAGATGGGATGTGGCAGGACCTGCAAACATATGTGATGCAGCTCCCAGGGATCTGTCATGGGGAGAGGGGGACCCATCCTCCTTTGAAACCGTATATTGTTTTATCCCAAATGACATCTCTACTGAGGCCCTGGAGGGGCCATAGCTTGGAGGTGCCAATAAACCCTCCTCTTGTTGGGCCTCTTTTCCTTCCCTGTCTTTCAGGGTGTGGGTTGAAGGGACAGAAACAGTCTCTGTCTGGTTATGAGCACCCCAAACTGCACATCTTGTACTAAAAGTAATTTGGTTTTCTTACTGACCTCCAAAAAGAAGCGTTTGACTTGGGCTTGATTTCTATGGTGGATAGTGATTCTCATGTGGCAGAAAAAACAAAATGTAGGGTTAGAAACCAGCAATTAGACATGCAGAAACCCACTATGTGGAATAGAAGAGAAACAACAATCTGTACAATTTTCTAGAAAAACCATAGCAAACAGACTTTTTCATTTTTCCACTCTCTTATATATGTTTTGGAGAGACCTTGGCCTTTCCTTTGAATCAGAACATCCTTGTTTGGGGCCAGTCCTCCTGTCCTCTGAAGAGTTGGGAGATCAGCTCAGTGCAGCAGAGAGCTTGCTGAGCTTCCAGAGAATGAGGAATTCAGAACATTGAGTCTGACTTTGAAGTAGTCAAAAGTTTCTTAAAAGTTGTAACCTAGATCACAGAATATGCTGAGTTGGACTGGACCCACAAGGATTATTGAGTCCAACGCTTGGCCCTGCACAGGACCATCCCCAAGAGTCACACCATGTGCCCAAGAGTATTGTCCAAACACTTCCTGAACTCTGTCCCACTTGGTGCTGGGACTTCCTCCCTGGGTAGCCTGTTCCAGCACCCTCTGGGTGAAGAACCTCTCTCTAGTATCTAACCTAAGCCTCCTCTGACACAGCTTCAGGCCATTCCCTTGAGTTCTTTCACTGGTCACCACAGAGAAGAGATCAGTGCCTGCCCCTCCTCTTCCCCTCACAATGAGACTGTAACTGCAATGAGGTTTCCCCTCAGTCTCCTCTTTTCCAGCTGAACAAACCAAGTGGCCTCAGCCACTCCTCAAGGCTTTCCCTCAAGGCCCTTCACCATCTTTGTTGCCCTCCTTTGCACACCCTCTAATGGCTTGATATCTTTCTTGTATTGTGGTGCCCCAAACTGCCACAATATTCAAGGTGAGGCCACCCCAGTGCAGAGCAGAGCAGGACAATCCCCTTCCTTGCCTGGCTGGTGGTGCCCCTCAGGACACAGTTGGCCCTCCTGGCTGCCAGGGCACTGCTGACTCATATTCAACTTGCCGTCAACCAGGACCCCTGGGGCCCTTTCTGCAGCACTGCTTTCCAGCATCTCATTCCCCAGTTTGTATGAACATTCAGGGTTGCCCCGTCCCAGGTGCAGAATCCAGCACCATCTTTTGTTGAACTTCATACAGTTTGTGATTGCCCAGTCCTCTAATTTATCAAGGTCTCCTTCTCTACTGTTTCTCTTCCATCCCATTCTTTTACATTTTTGTTCTTAGCTCTTTCTTCTTGTGGAGGAGGGAGGATATTCAGTGAAATATAAATAAGCCTTGCTCTGTCTTTGATGTCTTTTGAATTTTCTTCCTTTTGCTGATGTTGCCACATGAATTTTGCACGAGGTCATACATTAGAAAAGGAGCAGACCATTAGGTGCAGCTGTGGCCTGGGCGGGAGAGCAAGCCACAGAGGAGTATCCTGGGAGCCACGGCTCCATCCTCATGTTCATCACCGTGGCCCAGGGCACTGCCTTACACTTCCCTTCCCTCATCTGAGAAAGTCAGTGTCACAAACATAGCGGGATCTCCAGGGAAGAGTGGGGTGACCTGATCACTTTCACCTTGTTTCCAGCAGTGGCTCGTCTTACAGAGCCCATTCTGCCCCCTTCTCTTCCCTTATAGTAAATTTGGCAGAAACAGGTCAAAAGATAAGAAGCTTCAAAGATAATTAATTTTCTGCAAACATTAAACATGTAATTAAACATGGGTGAGCAGGAAGATGGGTGTTTGGACAGTTCTGTGTTTGTCTCTAGCTTCTGATCCTTTCTTCAGTGGGACAGAGCAAGATGCAGAAAAATATCTGCAGGAAAATAATTGTGAGGGGAAGTTGAAGGGAATTTTGAAGGAATAGGTGGAAATGATAGAGAATATTCTGCGTAATTCAGTTTAAAGGTCAGCCCAAATCTACAGAAAACCAGGCATCATTTTTTCCACTGTTCATCTGCTTGTTTGTTATTAAAAGGCAGAATGAAAAAAAGAAAACAGAAGAGGAAATTTTGGCTCAGAGATGCTGACGCTTTGGGGAATGGTGATGACAACACTGGTGATCCCAGGTTGGAGGGAAATGGCACTCTCATCCTGACTGAGGCAGACACGTAAGCCTGTGGGCAGCCCCATCTCTGTTTCATGGAGCTCAGCAAAGATGCTCCATTTCCCAGGGAAGCACACTGGGAGCTTAAATGCACTCCTGAACGTCAACCAGATGATCTCATGCTTCGCCACATCGGAGCATCACTGGGCTGTGCCAGGGCTGGGCAGTGCAGGGGCGGCAGTGGCTGTGAACACAAAGCTGTGAACACAACACAGTGCAGATATGCTGAGGCATCTGCACTGTAACAAACAGTGTCTGCATGGCATCTTGCCTGTGGTGTGTTTTGGTGTTTCACAGCTTGTGTTTCACCAGAGCCTTATCTGTGAAGGTGCTGGATGGAGAATTCGCATGTGAAGTGTTTTGTGTATGGAGAATTGCTTCACACTGGGGTTTGAGTACATGGAGCTGGAAACTACCATCCCTACCCTTATTCCCAGCTGGAGCTGCTTCCTCTGGCAGTATATCATTTTGAGTTCCCATACATACAGGAGTGGTATGATCTGTGACAGGCACAGCAGCAGAAGTGTGCTCTAGAGACCTTCAGAGTATTCCTCAGCTGCAGACAGAACCAAGAAGTTAGCAGCTGCTTTTACAGTGGCTATTTCTGACTCTCATGCCAAGGCTTAAGCAAGAGAAGCAGGCTCAGGAACAGCATTCGGGTAGTTATAAACTGCTGATGTGTCCAGATGTAACTGCAGTGAAATCTATTTCATTAGATCTTTGTATCTTGGATTCTGGATGTAGCTTGTTGTCATTTACAGGCTTCACAAGGAGAAAATCTGCATTTGGTTAGACACGGGATCATAGACTCACAGAATGGTTTGTATTGGAAAGGATCTTTAAAGATCATCCAGTCCATCTCCCCTGTAAAGGGCAGGGATATCTTCCATTGGATCTCCAGTTCAGATTCTCCATTTAGTACTTCTACAGAAATCAGTGCAGGCCTTACCCACTCTGCAAATCTCCACTTTCCAGCCTCCTCCAATTTGTAAACCCCAGTGCCTCTCCCACTCCATTCCAAGTGCTTCTTGAGTTTTCCATTAAGACTGGGAATTATTATGAAACCAGGGACCATCTGAGCAGGAAGAATAGTAAATTGGATTCAGTGATAAATTAGAAAAAGCATCCTGTCAAATAGGGAAGTGACTTTTTTTAATCCTTTTTTTGATTAATGAAACTTTTGACAACTAAATTCCTCTCTTTCCCTCTGCCCATTCCTGATGAGTGCAGGTAGATCCTGAAACAGCTGGTGTAGTTCTTCTTCATCCTTGTTTTGACTCATGTTGGCCTCAGATGCTTTTAAAAACATGTTTTACAGAATTCTTGCATTTGGGAGCTTCCAAAACTGCTTCAACATGTGAATTGTGCTTTAAAATGTTTTGGGTTTTGGTTTTGAGGTTTTTTTTAATTCTGTAGGGAATAAAATGCACAACTTGGAACTTGATGATACTATCACAGGAAGGGACCATGTTTAAAAGGTATCTGAGGGCTTCTGTTGCCTTTGGTAGCTACCTCTGTCAATGTTGAGTGAAAAGTGATGTTGTAAGGAAACTTTTCTTCCAGAAAAGACTTGATAGGCCTCCACAGATCGTCTGCAGTTTCTTTGAGCACTTAAGACCCAGACCTTTGGAAGCGTTGATTTGCATTAACTCTTCTTTCTGCCTTTACTTTTACAACCAAGGCAGGCTCTATAGCTTTATTTAGAAATCACCCATCATTAGTAACCACAGTCATTTAGTAGACATATTTACAAGGTAAGTGACAGTGGGAAGTAATTAAGTTTAATATAAATCACACTCAATTTCAAATCTGCAGGCTTCAAAATAATAATTAATAGAAACTGCAGCTTCTATAAAAAGATGCAGTATTTATAGCAGTATCTTCTTTCTTTTCCAACTAAACATATTGAGTCTAGTGAAAATTAAAATCCCCTGTCTGTTCATCATATTTGTTTCAAAGTCATTTTTCTTCCTGTGGTGCACTTCATTGCGAATTACCCACTGCTTTTACTCTTTGTGGGGAGATTTTTGACTCTTAATATGATGACAGGGAGGAGGAAGAGTTTGGCATTATCCAAAATACCCTTACAAATGCATATATAAGCTGTGGCTTTCTGGTAAATCTCTGTTAAATCAGTGCCTGACAAGGTGTGCTTTGTTTCACAGGTGTCATGCAGCTGACAGGTCCACTGGTGGAGGTGATGGTCACAGCCAGGGCAGAGATTCATTAAGCTAAAACAGAGTAAAATAATCGAGGTGTTTTGGAGCTGTTTGCAAGATCTACTGAGTGGGTTGTTTATCCTGTCAAAAGAAGACACCATTTGGGACAACAGTGTGCTGCCAGTGGCTGCCATGGCCAGCAAAAGAAAGTCAACAACTCCCTGTATGGTGCGAACTTCTGAAGTCGTGGAGCAGGAAGGCTCGGAGGGCATAGAGACTTCTAAAGAGAAGGGGACTGATGCACCACAGCAGGACTCCAAAAAGAACTGGCCTTCAGAAAACTCAGTCAAAGACTGTGAAGTGGTTGAGGCAAAGCCCCCAGCTGAAAATCAGTCTAAGAAACCCCAGGGTGGTTATGAGTGTAAGTACTGCCCTTACTCAACACAAAACTTAAATGAATTTACAGAGCACGTTGACACTCAGCATCCGAATGTCATTCTCAACCCGCTGTATGTCTGTGCTGAATGCAACTTCACAACCAAAAAATACGATTCTTTATCTGACCACAACACAAAATACCACCCGGGAGAGACCAACTTTAAACTGAAATTAATTAAACGCAATAATCAGACAGTTTTAGAACAGTCCATTGAGACCACCACTAATGATGTCACTGTCGCAAGTGGGGGGCTAGAAAACACAGAGTGTGATGATTCACTTCATGGGGGAACTAGCACGAATAAAGTTCCAATGATGAAACTGGGAAAGCCTAAAGGGGAAACCAAGAAGGGATCCAAAAAGCCAGAAGAGGGAGTTACGGAAAACCATGTGGATGGTGCTCTCCCCCGTATCATAACTGAAGCCACTGAAGCTATTGCCTGTATAAATGGAGACCTTCTCCAGGATGTGTTAGCCCATGTTATGCCCTCTGTACAGCTGCCACCAAATATCAACCTTGTCCCCAAGGTCCCGGTCCCTCTGAACAGTACCAAATACAACTCTGCACTGGACACTAATGCAACCATGATCAACTCCTTTAATAAGTTTCCATACCCAACACAAGCAGAGTTGTCATGGTTGACAGCAGCGTCAAAACATCCAGAAGAACAAATCCGAATCTGGTTTGCTACACAACGTTTGAAGCATGGTATAAGTTGGTCTCCTGAAGAAGTGGAGGAAGCAAGAAAGAAAATGTTCAATGGTACTATCCAGGCAGTTCCCCAAACCATCACCGTCCTACCAGCTCCTTTGGCAACTGCAAAAATGCCGCAGCCCATCATCCAGACAGCTTTGCCTTGTCAGATCCTGGGCCAGACTGGTCTGGTTTTGACTCCCGTGTCAAATGGTTCAACTGTTTCCTGTTCACCGATTACACTCGCTGTTGCCCCAAACCAGGGGCAAAAGAGGACAATACAGACCTTATCAAGTGCCCCAGAGGCCAAGCGTCCTCACGTAGTTCAGGTGCCTGAGATTCCTGCCAAGCTGACAGCTGTGCCGCTGACACCAGCCAGCGAGCGGAAAAAGACGAAGGAGCAGATAGCAGAGTTAAAGGCCAGTTTCATGGCAAGCCAGTTTCCTGACGATGCAGAAGTTTACCGGCTTATAGAGGCAACAGGTCTTTCCAGGAGCGAGATCAAGAAGTGGTTCAGTGACCACAGGTACAGAAGTCAGAGGGGCATTGTGCAAATTCCTGGTGATGCTTTAGGGAAAGATCAAATAGCACCTTCAGCTGGTCGACACAGCCGGTCGTTTCACCCGTACACGGATTTTACTCCCCAGAGATTCAAAGAGAAAACCCAAGAGCAGCGTAGGGCGCTTGAGGAGAGTTTCCTAAGATGCTCTTTTCCTACCCAAGGAGAATTGGACAGGCTTCGAGTGGAAACTAAACTGAGTAGGAGGGAGATAGATTCGTGGTTCTCTGAGCGGAGAAAGATAAGGGACAACATGGAGCAAGCTGTCTTGGACTCAATGGGATCATACAGAAAAATTAAAGAACAAGGAACTCCCAATGGTGCAATAAGCCAGGCAGAACTTCTGAGTGGCTCTCAGCTCCCTGGTGCTTTATCTGGGTCCTCAACCACATTTAAGAAAACACAAGAGCAGATTCATCTACTGAAAAGCACATTTGCAAGGACCCAGTGGCCATCACCCCAGGAATATGACCAGCTAGCATCTCAGACTGGGCTCACAAGAACAGAAATAGTTCGCTGGTTCAAGGAAAACCGGTCTTCACTAAGAACAGGGTCACTTAAATGGATTGACCAGTACCAGCAGCAGTATGCTGTTGATGGTCATAATAAGCAAAGCCAGAAAAAGGGCTCAAAACACTCTGAGAGCCCAAAGAACGGTAACGAGGTGTCTCGGCAGCATTACCAGGATCATAAAAAACTGAACGAAGAGAATGGGGGGAAACCAGTGGTGAGAGCAAAAAGAGACTGTGAACCACTGAAAGACTCTTTGTTGGGGAATCAAGCAGAGGGTGTGGACAGGGTGGAGTGCAACAGCCACGACGGCCACGGCAGCGAGGAGAACGAGGAGCCGGCGGAGGTGAACTGGGTGGAGGTGACGGTGGGCGAGGACGACGCTGCGTCGGACTGTACGGACAGCTGGAGCCAAACAGCACCCGAAGGACAGACAGAGCTGGCAGACTGTGACTCTGAAAGTATATCTGGAGACAATTCCCACGTATAGACAGGTAATGCTGATGCTGCCCTGTTTCTCTGAGCCTGCCTCTGTCTGGGTCTGCTTCCAGTATCCTGTAGCCCCTCTTCAGTATAAATCCCTGGAATGAATTCCTGCTGGATCCATATGCCTGCTGGATGCCTGAAGGGGAGACCCATTCTGCTTGTAAATTAAAGCTAACGGCGTGGTAGGGGAGGAGTTAGTGCCATTTGCCTTTTTTGTCTCCTTGTGGGTTAAATCCTGGATAAGGGAGATTTTTCTAATTTTTTTTTCAATAAGTGATTAAACCTTAAACTTTCTGCCTTTAAACAACCTATGAAACCTCTGCAGCACTTAATGTAAAACATACCCGCTGAGCCACACAAAGAAATAGTAACACTAGTTGCTAATATGCCCCTTGCTAAGAGATCACTGATCTCCTGTGAATAGAGGCTGTGGCTGGTTTTGCGCCTCAGGTCCTTCCTTTGCAGCATCCTGCCCTGCTCAGAATAAAAGGTCAGAGGGGGAAGGGCCCAGGACAGAGATGCTCTTTTATGCAAAAGCAAGCAAAAAAAGAAAAATGTTGTGGGGACTGAAGTGGCTCATGCAAATGTGCTCTCTTGCAGGTGAGAACTGTCTCCAGCCTCGCTTTGTTCTGCTTGCTCACATTAGAAGCTTAGGAAGTGCCCCAGACTAAGCTGTGTGGGTGTTTTAGCAGCTCTTCTTCACAGGATCTTGAATTTAAAAGCAAGCTGCAGGGCCTTGCTTTAAGGGGGGTTTGTACATCTTTCACAATGTGAAAGGATGTGTTATTTGGAGATCTGAAGCCTGTTTCTGATCACAGTTGCACAGGTATAAATCTGGAGCAAGCACCGTCAGCATTTCTTGACTTGCATGTTGAATTGAGTTCACTGGAGCCTGTAACATTTTGTGCTCAACTGAATCTCTCTCCCCCAAACTGGAATTTCCTTAAGGTAGAACTTACCCTACAGAAAACTCAGCATCCTGCATTAACAACCATAGTGAGAGAACACCTGCTTTAGAAGGAGTTAGTAGTTTTCTGGTGTCTAAAATTAAAATATACTTTAGTTTTTCTTTTTAAAGAAAAAAAACCAGGCAGGACTGATAAAGTGCCTCCACACTTGCAGTGAAGGCTTCTACTGTTACGGTTGGCAGTGTTTGGATTGAACTACCGGTTTCAGGTTTTGGTAGCAAGGCCTGCTGACTGGCACTCCGTTTTCTCCATGTGCAATACTTGTCCAGAAGTCTCCTGGACGTTTTCTCTGAGTTGAAAAGGAAAACCCTGCAGTGGTATTATTTTTAACTATGAATTGTGTCAGCTAATCTTGAGCAATGTTATAACATCATCTATATAATGAAATATGTTAAAGCTTCAGACTGCAGTGCAAGGCACTGTCCTGCATTGTCCTTGCAGAAATTGGTAATTAGGGGTGTGAGTAACAGCTTGTGTTACCTGTGTGGCAAAGGCACAGATGAAAGGAAGAAGGATGGGGGAACATCGACTGGAGGCACACTGGGGTGCCACTGTTGTACAGCCACATAAGAAGGGAGAGCCAGGATCTGAGCTGCCTTTTAAAATCAAATGTGTGATGAATAAATGCATTGAGGGATTATTTTTTTTTTTAGGGTTGTTATTCCAAATCATTTCCTCTTTCCAGCTATGAATATTGGTTCTGAAGAGAGGGAGCAGACCAGGAGCTAAGAGGGGGAACGGGGAGGAAAGTGGGAGCCGGGGGAGTTGCCTGAAACCATTCTTTCTTACAAACCTCTTGTACTGTGAAACAAGGCTCTGCAACAGTCCTGTTCCAGCAGCATAGGTTTGGTGCCTCCACTTTTGTCAGCAGTGCCAGGTGTGTTGGAGTGAACCTCCTCCCTCTGTGCCCTGGTACAGATACTGACCATAAAGCTCCAGGGCTTTGGAGGTGCTCAAGTGTTATCAGAGAGGAATTTTAATAAAAACTTTGATGTCAGTTAAACTTTTGATGAGGGATCCTTTTGATGAGGAGCTTTCCAGTGGTTGTGTGTAAAATACACCTGCTGAGAAGAGGTGCACTGGAGCAGGACTTCTGCTGCAAACAACATGCAGAAAGATCAGAGGGCATTTTGTCCTGCTCTTTGCCTGTTTCTCAGCATGCTGGCCTGGGGACTTGACAAAAGCCCGAAGTCTTTTTAATTTTCCTTTATTCTGCCTGTAAGTCTCAGCACAGAAACATGAGTGCCTGCTCTCTGGCACCCATGTGGAGGCATTGTCACAACTGTTGTGGCACAAAATTTGGAAGCTTTATATCCCACACTGGTGAGACCCATGGAAAAATCTCAACTACTGCCTCCATTTTCCTTAAGGATAAGCTTTCACTCTTTGTCCAGCATATCTTAGAAGTGTTCAACTAAAGCTTTGGTGTTCAGCTAACAAGGTGTTAAGTAACATTCAGGGTATGACTGGAAAGACTGTGCAAGACCCGATTGAGAGCTTATTTCTGCCTGTTTTCATATAAAAGCCTGATTTTTCCTAACATCATATTCCTCAGGTACCACATGTAAGAGGTGGACTGAAGAGCTGATGAGGGACTTCTCTTGAGTCTCACACAGCCACACGTACAGGGTGAACCTTTCATTGCTGAGCCCTAAATCAGGCAGAAACTATTTTGTCAGCTTGATGTACATAGTCTAAAATTATCATTTGTTGCTGACTGATCTTTATACTTCTGTTGGCTGAATTTATGTACAGCTTCTGTAAAACCTCATCTCTTCCAAACTATCTTGGTCACTCTCTGCTCTGTTGTTTAGCTTTGAGTTTCTGGAACTAGTGGCGAGCATTTGTGTTACAGCCTAGACAGCTTTAAAAAATTGAGTGTTTCCAAACTGATCCCTGTTCAGCAGATTCTGCTGCTGCTACAGCTAGAGGGAATTGCACAAGTGCCTGACCTTCTTGAGAGCAAGATTCATGCTGGGCTCTGAATTACCATCTCAGAACTAAGAAAAGTCTCTGTTACTAAGTCCGTATCTGAAGCTTTTGGCAATATTGGATTTATTCAGTGGAGCAGGTCAGGTTTTCTGAACAGTGAGGCTGAGAGACCTGTCCCCATAGAGTAGCAAGGCCTTCAAGACATTGAGTGGCTGCTGTCAGGAGCACTAAAGCCATCACTGAAAATGTTCCAGATGTTGCATCATGCAGCCTTGTGTCCCCCTTGTAATGAGGCCCAACTGCTCTGTCAAGAGAGCGCTTTAGGTCCCTTTCCACGAGTACAGATATTCCTCTCTTCCTACAGCACAGGTCAAAATTAGGTCTGTTGTCCCTGTTTGTGCAAAATTAACAAATAGAAACTGGTCCTAAATTAAATACAGCAAGCTACAACTCAGACAGGAGAGTGAGTCCAGAGTGTGCCTGAGTGGTTGACAGCTACTACTGGCTTTCTTCCTGATGTTGTCTCCCTGTGGGGTTTTCCCAAGATCAGAGCTTTTGGTTTTTGTCAGAATCATACCTTTTCCCACACCACCACCTTTCTGCAGTAAACTTTTTTAGAGTTATTTTGTGATCTCCATTTTTAAGCCTGAACCTTGTAAGATGTAGACACTAAAGTTTATGGCTCAGGGTGGGAGTGAGATAGGTGGAGACCCTGGAAGATGTGTGCCTGACTCTGGGTGGCTGTGACCATTGCTCTGTGGAGATGTGCCAGGAAAAAAAGAAAAAAGTCTGAAGGCAGCCCCTTGCAGATGCTGGGCATCAGAGGTAGTCTAGGTTCTTTTGGCATCTCCAACCCCTTCTGCACTGCTGCAGCAGCTGAGATCACGTTTGCTGGTGGCACAATACATTCCCATTCCTTGGTGTCCAAAACTGGTAAAAGTGAACAGCACTGGGGCTTCTCTTGCTTTCTACCTAAGTTCTCGCTCTTCTTGTGGTTTAGGGTTTCATCTAAAAGACTGGCTACGGTGCCTGTTACTGATGCTGTGCTCCAAGGCACCATCCTGAAGTAAATCAGTGTGGGATTGACTGGTGGTTTTTGCAGAATTGGGGTCACCCTAAAGCATTTGAGGGAATGAGAAAGAAGTAGGGAGGATGTGCTTTTTCCCCCGAAACCATTGAGGCACACTGAACACCCAAGTTCTAATGTAATGAAGGACTTCAGGGGAGATGCAAAACCCAGTGCTGCAATTAAAATTTTCTAGTGAGTCAAGAGGAGCAGGGGCCTGTTTGAGGAAAGGTCTCAAGGATGGGGAGGACTTTTCCCCTTGATGTTGGTGCAAGCCAATGTCCTTTTCCTGGGTGTGACTGTGGTGTTCTCTGTGTTGCAGATGCCAGACAGAGCTCACTAGCTCAGGTTTTGGGAAGCACTGCTGCAGGATAAGTGAGGAGGATGGTGCAGGAAAGCCATCTCATGCAGCTCCAGCATGACTGGATGTTTGTACTTCTTGTACATTTACACTTGAGAGGGGAAGAACATGCTGAACATAATCCTTGTCATAGAGTCATTGCTCTGTGCTGGGAACTGGGGATACATGTAGATTGGTGGCTGTTTGAAGGTTGGGGGATTATTTTTTAATCTCTGGTCCATGGTGCAGCCTTTATGGAGGCACAGGAGTCATAGCAGAGCCACAGAGCTGCTCTGCAGAGTACAGGCACATCCAATTTTTTCCATTGTCTTGCAGTTTGTATCGTTTTCTAAAATCATGCAAAACAAGAAGTATTATGAGGGGATTTACTGGGGGAGAAAGACCTGAGATCTTCTTGGTTTTAGCACTATATGTCCTGTGTTTGCAAAGTAGCTGCCCCAAATATGTGTGCACATCATCCTTGAGTCAGTGTGAGAATCTACCAAGTCAAGGCTGGACTGTATATCCCTGTCAGAAATCCATGGGGGATTATTAGCTGGGTGTTCCATGCAACAAAAGTCCAGCACCCTATCACGTCAGGCTATGATAAGGATAGGCTTCAGAGTACAGTTAATAGAAAATACAGTGTTACTGTGTGTGCAGGGATGTAAACTGGATGCCGTGTTAGTTAACAGCTAGTTAGTTCATTGTTCACAGTGCCTTCAAAAATAATATGCTACTTTTATAATTTTTGCAGGGGTACTCCTCAGCTGCACTGTCCTGACATTGGAGGGGAAATGCTGTCTGAAAATAGAAGAAAACTCTATTTTCCTGCCTGGGGTGAGATAGCGTGTTGCGACTCCAAGTCTCAAGCGCCACTTGTGGAGGCACAGTGAGAAATACTCTTGTGGAGTGTCATCATGGAATCGTTGATAGTGCCAAAGTCCTACTACTGCATTACAAAAGAAAAGAAAGAAAGAGAAAAGGGTCCTTGTACATAGATTTCTCTTCAGTTTCTCCCCCACCCGCTTTCCTGCCCACCCTCTTCCTCTACTGGAACAGATTTGTACAACATGAAAATTTTGTTAATTTTTGTAATAGGTGCAAGTTATTCTTGCATATAATGCAATTGCAGAATTTTGGGATTGGTTTGGGGGATGGAAGTGTCTTTTGTGGGGGAGGGAGAGGAGACTTTTTTTTTTTTTCTGAAGAGTTTTAAGACAGAGCTGCAATCTTTTGGAGTCGTCTTGGTGCAGATCAGCATCTGAGCCCAGATCCCCACGCCAGTTTACATTTCAGCCCAGTTAAACATGTTCTGGAGTGGTGGGGTTTGGTTTTTTTCTCTTGTTGTTTTGAATTTTTTGTTTTGTTTTATGGCCACCTGCTACTGGTTGAAGTATTTAAATCTCTGCTTTTATGTGCTCCTACAAGGCAAGTCTTCTCCAGCTCCTGTACTTCACTTTTCACCAGCCAGCCCCAGCTGTGGGTCTCTGAAGATTTGGCTAAAAATGCCTTTTTTTGTTTTGGTTTGCTGGGTTTTTTTAGCACTTTTTGTTTAAACTTGCATTACAACCCCCAGAGGGGTTGGAGTGAGGAAATGAAGATGCTTCATAACTCAGACTTGTTTGTGTTTCTTTGGCTGGTACAGTGATGGACACCATAACCAGCAGTCCTCCCTCCAGCTTTAGACGTTGTAGCGCACAACAGAAATTTCTTATTAACCCTTGCCACTAAATTTTTAGATCAATCCTAGGTTCCTGATTGCACTTTTGTTTTGTTTTGTTTTTTCAAGTATTGCTAATTTGGATTTGTGTGGGGGTGTCTGTCTGTGCACGTGTGAGGAGGAAATGGAGAGAGAGCAGGAGCCTGGGTGCAGGAGCCGTCCGGTGCGTTCCTCTGATGAGCTGGGTTTGGAAAACTTGCCCACCTTTCAGTACGCTGCACAAATAGGATGCTAGGGAGTTTGAATAAATCCGACTTTTCTAACTTGTTGCTCAGTTGTTGTAACTCAATAAAGCAAAGGCTAAACATTTTGGTAAATCCTTTCTCATCTCTTTGTTTTATTCCATTTAAAATCCAGACTCATCCCAATCTTGGTGCACAAGGACTTGGTGGCTTTAGAGTCATGATTAGGGTTTTAACTGGTTTTGCAGTATTCAACTTGGCAAACACTAACCAGATCAAAGTGAACTCAGTGAATACTGATGTTCATTCTCCCTGTGTCAGTCAGCTCTTTCCTGCAGGAGGGATTTGGATAATGCTTGGGAATGGAGAGTTGGGAAACACCTTTTATTTTGGTTGCAGTCACAACTGAATGAATGAATGAAGCCATCCCCATGACTCACCCATATGTAGTTATTTTTATTAATCATCAGCACAACATTTAAGTATAGAGGGAGGTTTGCAGTGGGTGGCAGCAAGCACTCAGTGACTTTTCTTACAATAAAGTTGTCTGGTTCATTGCTGAGGAGGGGTGACTGCATGAGGCACCACTTTGCCCATGGAGCAGCTGATGTCATTTATTGTTACACAAATGCAGCAAGCAAAGGCTGACGGAGGATGAGTCTGCACATCTCCCATCACAGAGCTTGGATGTTGATCTCTATGGTGGAGGCAGAGGCTGGTGCAGTTGTGTATGTACCCCCTCATGGGTTGTCAGATCAGTGGATGCAAGCATCTGATGACCAACAGGAAAATGCCTCTGAAGATGCTCCTGCAGGACTCTGAAGTTGTAACTGAAACTAATTGCCACTTTTGTTTGCTTTGCTTACATGAAAGGATGCTAATATTTTAATTGCCCTTGTGAAGTTTTTAACAGCCACTTGGCAGCTTAATATTCCTGTTTGCATCTCCCATGTCTGGTGTGTGTTGTACATCTGTGTGTTTGGAGCACTGACCTACTTTGCTTAATTCCCAGGGAGCTCAGCAGGAGGTTTAGGAAGAACAAGACCCACCTGGGTTTTTCTGTATTTGAACATCCCCGACGCTGTGGGATTAAGGCTCAGGACTGGGGCTCTTTAAGATCTCCCCAGTTGAAGTAAAACAATAGCAGTGGCCCCAGCATCTGTCATCACACAGATGATAAAGCTGAAGCTGTCCCACAGCAAACAAACAGGCTTGCCAGCAAGGGCAGACCAGTGGAACCGAGGAGGTTTGTGCAGGCAGGGGGTGGTGTGGCACCAAACCTTCAGACGCCGAGGCTCGTTGGGGAAAGCCGAGCTCATGTTTTGTCTTAGCTTAAAGTAACCTGGGTCCCCCCCAGAGACTGCTTCAGTGTGGCTGCCAGAACGGCTTCAGAAACTGAGCATTGGAAGCAGGCTTTGCTTTTAATTAATAGGGAGGCAGTGTTTCTAGGAGAGTCCAAGTGGCAAGGGACAATCAGGACATTGTGCACAGTAGCCATTAGGGGTAGGCTTGGCCTTGGGGTTTCATTGCACATGGATAAAAACAGGCTGCTGACACGGAGTTTTCTCCTGCACAGCCCTGCATCCCCCCTGCAGGACCCTGGCATTGGCACCCTGATGTGTGGCTGGGAGCAGGGCCTTGTGCCTGGCAAAGTCCCACTGTGAGGAGATGGCTCAGAACAGCTTTTCCTGGGCAGGGTCCCCCAGGATCAGCAGGTCCTGGTGATCAAGTTTTGACTGACATCTTCCACCATTAACCTGTGTCTTGAAATACTCTAATCAGCAAAAAAATCTAGTTAACACAAAAATGTGCAAAAATGAATTGGATTTTTGCACATGTGCAATACATTTTTTTAAATGTGGCTTGTAGAAAAATCCATCACTGGGAAGTTGGGAATGACTTGGATTAGGTGGCCCCTGCTTTCTTATTTTAGTCTACTTTTTGCTGAGAAGAGAATGGATTTTCTTTGTATACACGTTACTTCTGCCTTCTCCATAAGATGCTGGGAAGCTCCATACCACTGTTGGAGATCTGGGGACTCCCAGCATTTAATAACACAGGTACAAATTCAGACAGGTCAGACAGAAGCCTTATTAAATGTCAAAAGGGAGATACTGCTCAGACAGCAGAGAAGAAGAGCATCACTGAATAGTTTGGGTCAGAAGGAACCATTTAAAGATCATCTCATCCAACACCACTGCTTTGGGCAGGGACATCACACACTAGACCAGGTTGTTCAAAGCCCCATTCACCCTTGGCCATGGGAAGTTTTGGGGCACCAACTTCAGTCTGTATGACCTCCCTGTAGTCTAAATGATTAGGTTTTCTCAAATACTTTTAAAGGGGAAAAAAACTGAAAAACAAAACAAAAACCAACCAAACAAAACCAAAACAAACAACAACAACAACAAAAATCTCAGTCACTGCAGTAGCACCATTTCTAACCTCAAGTCTCCGATTCTGACCTTTGGGAATTTCATTCACTGATTATTTCATTTATTGTATCACTTTGTAAGTCAGCCAGGGAGTGGTGCAAGTAACCTGCATGTGCAAGGTGAAACCCAGCAGTTGCAGGGATCACTCTCAGAAGAAGGGGTGTCCCAGCACCATATGGATCATCACAAGCTGGAAGGAAAGGGCTGGGTTATGCAAGAAAGCTGAGTAATTAGGAGCAGAATGATAATTCTGTGATGATCACTTAAAAATCCAGAGAAATACATAGGTAGGTAAAACAGCAAACAAGATAATTAATATTTATGCATTATATTTGCCATTAGCAGGAATTTAACCACTGAAACTTTTATCTTCTTGTAGCCCTCTGATGTTGTTAGGTAGCAAAAAGACACATCCTGAAATCTTACTAGCTTACAGAAGGGGGAAAAGAAATAATTTTGAAGGCACATAAGACAAAATTGTAGGAAGTCCATTTGGCATCCTGAGAGCAAGGAAAGAGCACACCAGTGATGGAAATGAACCTTTTATTATGTGCTGAGGAAAAAGACATAAGAGGGAAGTCATCTGTACAAGTTTGATCAGAGTAACTAATGGAAAGCAATTGTGAATGGGGCCTGTGACTTGAGAATAATACTGGAAATATTCATAATACAGAAGGAAAAGTGAAAGTATTGAGAGTGAAAGCAAGAGAATACACAGTGAAGGAAAAAGCAGCATTGAAAAAAAACAGGACAGGGTTTCTCTGTTGTTAGGCAGTTGAACCATGTCCCAATCAGATTACTGCAAGCTCTGGCGAGGACGGAGGTAAGAGCTGAGTGACCGGGTAATTGTCAGACCAAATCACACAGCACGTCTTGAGCACAGCAAGAAAAAGCAGGGGTGTTCTAGTGTTTTCTTATTTCCACCAAACCTGATGCTCCAAAGTGGTTGTTCCACCTATATTAAAATTCTCATAATTTAAGTGTACTTTACACATCCAGCAAGTTGGCTCAGGCACAGTAAATGGGACATTTTTGGAGCTTCCTCTGTACACAAACTCACCATCACCTTCCTCCTTTTTTTAATCTTTTAAAAGTCGAGATCATCCCAGTCTAGATCATGTAAAGCTTAGCGTGCAGCAATTTTAATCTAAAATATAAATAGTTTTGCAACACATCTGTAAGAAAGGAAAGGAATAATAGCATTAACCCAAGTTTACGGACAGAGAACCTGAGACTTGTGTGTAGTTATTCACAAGGCTGCTGAATAAATGTGCTAAGGGCAAGAGCTAGAGTTCAGCTTGGCCTTGTCTTGCCTTCTCAGCAAGGAAGCTTCATTTTATATTTGTATCAAATCATTGCTGTTTCGTTGGCATTTCTGTTTTCACTCAAAGCCTTTCCCTCTACAAGAAGCAAAGGCAGAAGGGCAGAAATGAGCAGGCTTTTCCACATCCCACACAGTCCTGCCAGGACATCCTTCTTCTCCAGCACAACTCTCCAGGCAAAGCTTTCACCTTCCAGCCTTAATTCCCTCCACCTTTAAGTCTCTCCCTGAACATTTTCCCTCCATCTTCCTTTCCCAGAGATCCATTTTGGGGGGTGTTGTGGTTTAACCCCAGCTGGCAACTCAGCCTCATGCAGATGTTTGCTCACTCCCACTCAGTTGGGTGAGGAAGAGCAATTGGAAGGGTAAAAGCGGGAAAACCAATGGGTTGAGAGAAAGACAATTTAATAGGTAAAGCAAAAGCTGTGTACACAAGCAAAGCAAACAAGGAATTCATTCACCACTTCCCATGAGCAGGCAGGTGTTCAGTCATCCTCAGGAAAGCAGGGCTCCATCACATATAACAGTGACTTGGGCAGACAACTGCCATCACTCCAAACATCTCCCCTTCCTCCTTGTTCCCCAGCTTTTATTGCTGAGCATGATGCCACGTGATATGGGATATTATAGAATCACAGAACAGTTTGGGTTGGAAGGGACCTTGAATATTCATCTAATCCAACACCCTCAGCAATAAGCAAGGACATCTTCAACGCAGTGAAGCACAAATCCAAAACATACCCCCATACCAGCTACTGTGAAGAAAATTAACTCCACCCTGGCCAAACCAGCATAGGGGGCCTCTGGGGAAGGTGCCAAGTGCTCCCCCCAGCCTGGTTGGCATTTCTGGCCATTGCTGCAGCTGCTCTTTTATTCCCATGGAGAGGGAATTTCATCTCCCTTTATAGTAGAAGCTCATGGCATGCCGTGGGGTGCTTTATAAACACATTAGCATGCAAGTGTGATTAAATGCCTCATGGTATTAGGAGGATTGCTGTCTTCTCCAACTGAGAGGGACAAAACTGTTCAGCCTCTTTGGCCTCCCTGAACAATTCACATAAAGTCATTAATAATAACAAAAGGCATTTTGCACATGATGGCATATGACACACATCTGTACCTAAATGTTCAAATTTGACATATTATGTTTTTTCATCCTTCCATAACCCCAGCAGTCCCTCTCATCCGAGCGCTGGGGCTGCCAGCCTGTGCTGGTGAATGATGATGCAGCTCTTCAGGGAGGTGGAAATACTTGACTTTGCCTCCTGCTTTGATGAGCTCCCAAGGCACATATTAAACAGCAGCATCACGTCTTATCGCCTGACTGTTAAACCTCTTCACAAAGGGATCCTCCTCAGTGCCTATTCATTGTAGCTGGG